ACGCGGTAGAGGAATCTGCCACAGTAAGGCAAGTTTTCTGAAAAGGCTTAATGACAGGCACATTTCAGATCCAGAATCTTACAACAGAAGAAAAAATACTGGAAGAACTTTTCTGTGGAAGAGGTGTTGATAGTACAGAATGGAAAAATCATCCTGCGGGAAGTCAAGCATGACTAACTGGGTGATTCCCCTCAGCTCTTGCAAAACTCAGGTCCCGGCAACTCCACAGGGGTCTGTAATTTCTACAGAGAGCCAGCAAGATAAAAAGCAGCTCAAGGTTCCTTACAAGTGTGCAAGATCTGCAGCACGGAACACCCTGCCTTTTCCTCTCCTATGAAAATCCCGAAGGGAGCAGAACAGTGAGATTTCATTCCTGAGGTTCTCTTCTACTCCCGCAGGCAAGGACAGCCTAGCCTACAGCTCCAAACGGTTCAGAAATTCCTTCTGGCACCTTGAGGTGAATGACAAGACACAGTGTAATGTTTTCATGAACCAGGGGGAGCTCAGGCTGCAAACACTTCCCTGATCCCCAAGGTGAATGAAGTCAACCCAACGTAACCGAGGCAAGGAAGCGTGTAATGAAACGAAGGAGGGATGGATGAAGCAATCATAGCATCAGGGATCTGACCATCATGAGAAAACCCACCACAGGTCAGACAAACCTAGTATTACCACCTTTTAAAAATGACAGGAAACTCCTTTTCAGTATTTTTTTCCAACATTTGCACACTGAACCACCCAGGGCCTCACCTGCTCTTTCCACTGAATCAGTGCAAAAACTCCCAGCTTTTCGGCAGCCCCAAGTCAAGGACTTCCCTCTCACAGAATTCCTAATGCCCCAGCCTGTCTGTGCTGGAGGTAAACAATCTTGGAGCGACTCACTGAACAGCAAGGCCATCTCCCAGCACCTTCTTAGAGAGGCTTTGAAGATTCCACGCTTAGCTTGTGTCCATCTGCACACGGAGGCACTTCCCAATTAACAGTACCCAAGCAAAGGCAAGGAACCTCTGCCTCTCACTGTCTGTTGCTCAGGCAGAGATGGGCCTTTACAGATGTATAAACAAGAAGCCCTAAAGATATTTAAAGGAGGCTGCCAAAAAGCAAGCTTGTCTTTGGCAGAACAAACATTATAGAATCCAAGCAGCTTGCTCGCATTCCCTGGCAGCCGCCTGCATCTGGGAAGGCAGCACTCACACCTGCTTGGGAACAGACATCAAAGCATAGGCATGTTTCTTGGCTCGAGTATGAGAAGTAAGGGAACTTGAAAGCAGATGCAATCTTTCCTTTGCCCTTGGACTGTCTGTCTTCGGCTCTTCCCACAAGAGGAGATTTCGGTTTGGATTTGTATTGTCTGCCTCTCTCCTCAGTAGAAACCGAACAAATAGAGGTGTAATTCCCAGTTCCAATGCAGGGAGATACATTGGGAGAGTTGTAGGAACTTCTTATTAGGAGGGAATCAATCGCAGCAGAGGCGCTCCTCCACACGGACTGTGCAATTCACTGTGTCACCGTGTCCTCAGCTGCTGCCCTCCTGCATCCCCTCGCGATAGCGGCACTCACTCTCCGCTGACAGCTGAGGACACCGCTATCCCGGGGCAAAGCGTCAACCCGGCCAGAAGCTCTGGGAAGCCAAGCTCCACAGCTGGGCTAGAACTGTATAACCACTCATCTGTCACCCAAAACCGCAGCTGAACCAACTCTTACTCTGACGCAGCTAGAGGCACAGCTTATTGTTTTAAGCCAAATACTTTTTTCTGACCCCCAAATTCCTTAATTCCCATTTCTTCTCACAATAATGACGACAGTAAAGACTCCAAGTGCAAGAACACCCGCAGCAATATAATCTACAACAGAAACCCGTTGGAGGCCAGGATAGCCAGAAGAAAAACCTGTCCCTGCCCTCTGCCCATGGCATCTTGGTAGTCTGGAGGCCCAGTCATCCTGTCACGTAGTAACTACTCAGACACAGAGCCGAACAAATGCTTAAAGTGCCAACTGTCACAGCAGAGCATGGACCTGGACTACCCCCCAGTTCCTCTCCTCCCACAGCAGCTGCACACCCAGCTGGAAGGCCCCTGGTCCACATTTGAGTTGTGGATGGGAAAGAATTAGTTGTCCTGTTCTGGAAAGCATTCCCCCGTTCCTGCTATTCTAGATGGGACCAGACAGAAACACACAGTGGCACAAGGAAAGCGTTCTGCCCTTCTGAGGTTCACCTCTGCCACTCAACCCACTGCTCCTCCTTCCACGTCACCAACAAGGTCCAACTTACTTCAGAACGACGTTGGTTCCTCCCTTCTGATAGTACAGATGGTTGTTTTGCACTGCATGACCACATCCGTAAAAGAACCCTGTGATGTTAATGATCCTGTAGCTGTCGTTCAGCAAGGCATTGGAATTCTCATATTCCCTTATAGAGTTTCCTAAATGAAGGGGAAAACACGAAAAAAAGACTGTTCATATGAATTTGAAATTTCTACCCCAAAATTCAATCTGTACTGAAAGTCAGTCAGATATCTGACATACAACTGTGTTTTCAATAGTGATTCAGCTTGCTGGAACATGATAAATAATCCAGAGAGAAACACCAAGCAGAAAACCTAGAGAGGTGTTCAAGGGGCTCCTTCCCACTGACCTGATGGGCCCCAAGTCTAAACACAGTTGGGAAATACACAGAAAATATTTCCTTTTTCCACTTCGGTCCTGCAAATTTTCCTGCACTATAGACGTCGTTCATGCAGCATCTGATTAATTTTCATGCCTAGCTAAATGAAAAAGCAAAACTACTAGCCAGGATTTAGGGAAGTGAAGCCATAGGAAGCTGTTGAAGGAAAAGAATATAAAGGCATGAACCGCAGGCAGTCAGACTTGGATTGATTAAAAAAACCAAACTAAAATCCTCTATTTTCAAAATCTGATCTTGGCTCTGAAAACATCTAAAGACACTACAAATATCAGTACCCATAGGTAAAGTCAAGTATTGCCCAGATAATACAGAAAATGCTCTGAAACAGATGCAGGTAAAAACCTGTCACGCTTGATTAGAAACATTAATTTAGGCTGAAGGAATTACGAAAGCAACATTAGCACGACAACCTATTTTTGATCAGTGACACTACCTGAAAAATGCAGGGTAAGCCAAATCCTTTCATCACTGATGTTTGCAGGTTCCCGCATCCAAGTTCCGAACGTTTGCTGTACACTGACAAAGTGCACAGGACTCCCCACGGACGTTACGACACGCTCTGGCAGGGGAAAAAGCAGGCGTCCGTTATCTGTGACACTGCACCCGTAAGCAGCGGTTAGTCACACTCTGTGGCGGGTTACCAGCTTTTTTGGAAGGACTGGGGGTTCTGTCTTCAGCTTTTCCAGCCAGGGTATCGTCATTCGGTACCGCACACGTCTCGCCTAGAGTTGAGAGAGGAAGGGCAAACCGTCACATTTCTGCGGTTGATGTGACAGAGGTGCACATCAGTGACTCCACCAAAATACAGGAATGGCAACCGGGATCTTGTTTCACCTGGGAAAAACCTCAGGTTGGTCTGGTTAAGAAAGGGAATGAAGTGTTGGGGCTGGTTTGTTTCCTCCGAGTTGTCAAGCCAACAGCCAACTCCGAGGAGTAACTAACGTTGCTCAGCAGATTAACTCCTTCGCCATGAATTTCTGAGGAGCTGCGCAGAAAGAGGGTTGCCCCTTTCCTTGGATGACTTTCGTAGGCTGAGATAGCCGCAGCTGCCTGATTTAGCAGTAATACCTAAAGTGCTTCCCTGGGAAAGGGAGATGGCTCAACTCAGAAGCTTCACACTACGTACGCCAGCAGGGGGGGGTTCTGTAGGCAACGCTGGAAGTTGTACTTGTGCTGTTAACATCCGGGAGTGTAACAACGTGCTGGCACGCACGCTGAGCAGGTAATGCGTGAGAGCGCAGGTCGGGCATCCTTTGGGGCAGCAGTATGAAAGACTGAGGAACTTACACACTGTTCCTTGCACACACAGAAGTGGTTCACATCAGAAACACACAGCTGGAAACACATGGAAGCACTTTCCCCCACCCCTCAGCTATTTGAAGAGCAGCTGGTTGGGTTTCCCTTAGCATTTACGGTTAAAACGATGCCTGAATGAAGTTTTTCACGGACCTTTTCCTATAAACCCAGATCCCTCTTTTGCCTTTAAACCAATACAACACGTCATTTGGCTCAGAACGAATAACCACAGTTCTCAGCTCTGTGCTGAAGACAGCCCGACTTCACTGTATCCTTGTTTTCCAGCTCCGTTCTCGCCTTGCACCTCCTTACACGTTTCGCACGGCAGGACACGCAGGCTGCGAATCCTCTCGGACATGCACTTTCCTTGTCGCCTGCCAGCGTATTGCTGGGATTTACAGGGCTGCGATGAAGTTTAAATGCGAAAGGCAGTAAAAGTATGAAGTAACGGTCAAGTCGTGCTGGAAGGGTAGTGTGACATCCAGGAAAGACAGTCCAGATCAGGCTGCACTGTTGTTTTCTCCTTCGGGTTACACCCTCCCTTGTTCGTGCAGAGGGGAACTACTCCAAGACAGAGCAAGAACAACGCGCTTCTCCCACCCATTCATCTAGGGCATTTGGTGACAGGACATCAAAATTTGTAAGGGATCACAGCCTATCTCCAAAACAAGGCACAGTCCAACCACGGGAAGACGAATGCCTATAGCTAGAATCCAGCAATCCCTCCAGATCCCTTTCCAGCTGCTGATCTCAAAGAAGGAATCCCCTCAGCAGAAATTACAAACTTGCAAGGCACAGGTTCATTTTCTTGGCTGATTCTAATGGATACAGTTAACTGGATGAGGAGTTCCCCTCAGAGCAATCCATCCAAGACTACAGAACAGTCAAGGACCAGGTCAGTGTTTGCAGTGGAGCCGAGTGCACTACTCGGATTTGAGAATATCTGAGAACTTGAGAAATTCAAGCCTATCTGAAAAATCCAGTTTAAAATTACACTTTTCTATGATAAAAGTAAATATCTGTAAAAACATAGTGAGAAATGTGCTGACTATAGAAGGGTTTTAGGATATTAATACAGTCTTCAGTGTCACATTGACACCAACACTTTCTGCCACAAAGTATTCAGCTGTTATAGTTAAATCCATATAAACTTCAGGTGTGGAAAATACGCTCGGTGCACTGTACCTGTCAATGCATTTACAAAACACACTGTTCCAGAGGGCAGAGCACACCTGCTGGAGGAGGAGCTGTGGGCAAACTGGCTTGGTATGTGCTCCCTGTAGCAGAGGCAGCGCTTTACTCATTAGCACACACACGGGCACATGCAGACACGCACCTGCACGGACTTCATCTGAGGCACAGTTTTACTCTATTTGATAAAAAGATCTTCTAAAACATGGATGGAAGTTGTGACGTGGAATGCTGACGTCATTTTTCAACAACCCACAATATCAAGTTTACATCCAGGAGTATTTACTGGTATCCAGCACACCTGAATATCACACTAGAAATATCTCACGGCAAGCTCTTAATTATGTCAGCACGCTCGTCAGTGTTTAAAGAAAAACAACACACAATAAAAACACCACCAACCAACCAAATAACGGAAGTGTAGCAGCTGCTGCACTTCAGCATACAGTCTGTGACCTGGCACTCTGGATACTCATAGTCTGGTTCTCACAGTATCTGCTGTGACATTTGCAGCCACAGCTTGAAGAGAATCGACTCTGTCTTTAATTCTTCCTTTCTGAATACTAGAATTAGCCATATATCTCACCAACACGGCTACTGCAAAGGAAATAAGGACTCAGGATCCACCTGTCATTTGGGATACAATAATGACAAATAGCCACAACGGGAAAGAACTCCAGATCACCTTGCTCCAAAACTTCCATACTCAAGTGGACACAAAGTCTCAGAGAACTCTTTTGTATTTCTCCAGTCTTTACAAGTCTTCTCTAGTTCAAGCATGCTTCAGTTCTGCCAAGGAGCAGGCAATTCCATGTTGGAGAACACGGCAAAACGTAGCCTGGTTAACAGGTGATTTGTTTACATGTGAAACTGAAGTTCAGCATTTAAAAGCTAAAAATCTTAACTGCATTTCTCTTACTTTCCATCTAACATTACTCCTGCCCACCTAACAGAAAACACCCCGTGTAAATACTTTGCCTGAGCAATGGATTTAACACGGCAGGACTGAAAGACCGGCGTTACGCTGGAGGCAGCTTGCTGCCTTCTCCAGACTGTTTCAGCGAAACACCCGAGCACGTGCTCAGCTTCCCAATGTACTTCCCAGCAACCTTACACACGTGCTTACTGTCTCGTGACACGTGGAGCCAGGGGTTTAACCTTGAACCTGTTTATAGTACTGAAAAGAACACTGGAAAGCACTCACCTGTGCATTTGCTGCTGTATATGTTCTCCTGAAGTTGTGCTTTACCTTTACGTTTTCCTGGAGGCCCGGGGGGTCCAGGTGGTCCAGGGGGCCCTGGGGGTCCAGGTTCACCTTTTGCACCTACGTACAAACAGAGTTCAACATCACAGGCCCTGTAAGCAACAGGCAGAGACCTGCCGGTGGCCACACAGTGGACTCGTAGAGATCTCTGGAACAGCCTCTCTCTTCTTCAGAGGTTTGGGCGTACAGACATACAGTGCAATAAGCTCACCGGGGTGCTGTTTGTTAGAAGGTGAGGCATACAGAACCCCACAACCTGTAGGACATCTGTGCAACTCATCTGTCTGGATTACAGGCCCTTTAGAGGGTTACAAAGCACTGTTGCCTTTTACCTACTCTCTACTAAGACCTCAACTGCAGAGTCTACAGTGCTATAATTTTGGCTGCTTCATGCATTCCCCAGTGGAAATCTGCCCCTCGTTTTCTACAGAAAAATAAAACTACACTGCGAGTGAGCAGGAGGAGGTCAACTGCCTGGAAGTGTACGGGGAAAGGTGGAATCCACGCACGCCTCAACCCACAACCCAAGCAGAAAAGCCTCTGTGAGGAGTTGCATTAAAAAAGAACATCATCTCCCCAGCAGAGCAATGCTGACACACTTGGCTGTGGGTAACACGGCTGTGCTGGTTGGCCCTACTCCTGCAGAGCGAGGAGTATATCCTCTTCTGTCATGTACGCTGTTGCAAGAGAGCCCCTAAGAGCCCTTCTTCCTACCTTCTGCTATCACATCGTTGTTTGCATCCCCCTTTTCACCCTTGGCTCCTCTTGCGCCTTTTCCTCCTGGCATTCCATCCTTGCCAGGTAAACCCATTTCTCCAGGTTCTCCTTTCTGCCCTTGATCACCTTTTGGTCCTGGCACACCTAGAAACAAAAAGCATTTCAGTACCAATAACACTGTTTCAGTATTAAGCATCAATCAATAATTTTTTATTAATACAAAAGGTATTTAATTGGGTTTTTCGCTCGGATTTGACGGGGTAACTGTAATTTGTTCTGCTTTCAAGACGGTGTTGTAACCTAATATGAAGGGAAAGGGTGTACACTCCAGTTGGTGCCAATAATACGTTCTTCAGGCAGTGATCTAGGAGTCCTGAACATGAAATACACCATTAACACTGGCTGGAGAATTTCTCCTGCGAGAAAAACCGCGGTGTGCTTGTACAGCTGACACACCAAGACCCTGCACCCTCTACTTGCGCGGCAGTCGGCATTTCCTGGCTTTAGGGGAAAGTAACTACATCTGAACATAACAGTAAGAAAGGCTTTCATTTTTAAACAACCACAACAACAAAATATTACCTATTTTTCCTCTTTTCCCATTTATTCCTGGTTCTCCCTTTTGTCCTGGTATACCCGGGACTCCGTCTGATCCATTGTAGCCAGGCAGCCCGTCAAGTCCGGGAGGTCCTGAACAAACCAAACAGCGTAACTGAATTTTCACTGTCAGATGCAATTTATCCTTAAATCTACTGTACTTACATATAGTACATGCTTTTATATATATCTATCTATACATCTTCCTTAGACATACAATATCCTCCAACTGCCCATTATGTTCTCCATGCCAACTGAGTATCCTCCCTGAAAAACAAAGAACACGCAGCCCCCACACCAAACCAAGCCCTGCCAATAAAACCCACATACAATGAACGAACAAAAAATTCTGAAGCCGGAGTAAAGCGCTTGCTTGTGCTGGCCTTCGCCTAAGAACACGGACCGAAAGGAATACTGTGCACCTTCCGCGTTAAGGCTGGCACCCATCCGCCTGCTTGATTCCAGCGCAAGGACAAACGCAGCGGAACCCACCCTATTTCTGAATTTGGCGGTGACAGCGACACCTCCCACAAGCCACACCAGCTCTAACGTGGCTGACGATACCGGCCGGGCTAATCTAGGGCAAGAGCAGCGTTTGCCTGCTTGTCGGGAACATGGTGGTGCCAAACCGCGAGAGGTCGATACCGAAGACGTCGTTCCCTCTTCGGCGCTATTTGAACCCCCCCAAACAACAAGTACCTGATACTTTTCTGCCAGAATTATTCTAGGCAGACCCGCAGCCCAAGCAGCGTGGAAGAAAGCGAGTCAGCGCTCCCCTAGCCCAGCAAAACCAGGTGAGGGCAGGAGAGGATTCAATAAGCAAGGGGGAAGAGGGATGGGGCAGGTGAGACGGTGGAATCGGGAGCCAACGTTTTTTGAAGAGATGCTTTTGGCGTTAAATTATAATATCAGCTTACTGGTGGGTTTGGTGGTTGGGTTTTTTAATACAGATAGGCATCTCTGGCTAAATGCCACTTCAACACTCTAATTCTTTCTGGTTTGGAGCAAATACGTTTTAGCAAATGTCAAACTATTCTACTCCCTCCACTAGGAAAGTATAAATGCCTAAACCCTGCCCCCTCTCAGAAGGGGCAGGGGCTGACTTAAACACAAACAGGATGAGGGCAGGCGGTCACCCAGCCCCCCCTCAGCCTGATGAGCAAAGGCAGACTGTCCCGTAGCAAACACAGCGCTGTGTTTCCACATGTCGTACCAGATCACCCCGAAACGTTACTGCAGCTGTCGAAGTAGCTTACCTGGGGGGCCTGGAGGGCCTGCAGCAGGAACAAGCCAAAGAACAGAAGAAAGAAGAAATGGTGAGTTTAACTTAGCAAGAAAACAAAACGCAATTCCAAACTGATCAGCATTGGGTCAGAACAGTAAAAGGGGGGGAACCCCTCAAATTTCAACATGAAAACCTACAGATTTAACAGCTTCGTATTATAAATAACAATTTAAGCATTAGAAGAAACCCAGACCTACTGAAAGAGCATCCCAAAAAGCAATTACATGTACACTTTTGCAAATTCCAGTTGATAACGGTTTGACAACCGACCACCATGAAAAGCACATTCCAAACACACGCTACAGTGTTTTACGGATGTTCCATCGCAGTTCAGGGTTCAGACTATTTAAATAGGAGGAAAAAAAAAGAGTCCTGTCCTTCCCATTACCTACATCTGAATGACAATCTTCACACGTAAGATTAGTTCTTAGGCAAAGTTAGTTCTGTGAATGTTTTTATCCAGCCAAAGTGCTGTCTTGTTTCAACAAAACTCTCTACAACAGCAAATAACAGCCATTACTAATTTCCTGAAAGATGACCATTTTCAGCATTAATTAGAAAGCATTATGAGTAAAGTGAAAACCATTTTATTATACCAGTACAGCAATTATCCCTTTTAATCAGCACAGGCAGTAACATCGGTTCACATCTTTTTGCCAGTTTTCCAGTAAGTGGCCATTTTGCCCACACTACAGTGTTAGATCCGTTCCTGTCTTCAATTACTTCCTCAGCTCAGAAACGGAGGGTCTGGATTATCCTGGCATTAGCATACAATAAACAAGAAAGGTGCTTGAAAAGCAGCAAATGTCGGAGAGGCTGTAGCAGAGAAAGACAGTGTTAGAGACAGAATCTAGTAGCGTCGAGAGAGCAAAAAGGTGCAGAAGGCACTAAGCAGCGTGAATTCCGATGCCTGGAGCCCAAAGAACCAAACTTTCAGGTTGTCTGTGGCGCAGCCCCAGTTGCAATCAGAGCTGACCTGCAGTTTCAGGAGCAGTATTTCACGGCTGCCTGTGCTACGGTAATTCACACCAATGTTGACATCGGTTGAGCCAAATACAGCTGATGGAAAATACCAACCAGACAGCAAGTGAAGTGGTTTCTTAAAAACATAAAAAAGTGGCTTATTTCTAATCTTCTCTTTTAAAAAAACAAACCACGACTCAAGCTGTTATAGACTTCAAAGCTGGGCCATAGCCCTTAAATTGCCTACTGCCTGGCATTCTCTTCACCAAACCACACAGAAACCTCGCACACCGCCTCTCACCCCAGCCATCGGCTGTTCCAGCTCCTCACCAGTAAGACATGAAACGCAACGTCCCATCACCGCGGCCCAAGGCAGGGGGGGCAACCACCCTGCTCATCTCAGCCCCACTACGCAGCAGCAGTTACACTAAGGGTAGTTTCTACACCCTGCATGTTCATCCCACGTTAACCTTGCACCAAAATACCACGGCTAAACCTCAACTAGTGTTTTAAACACCCAGGTCTGTAAGATTTGCTCATGAAAATTACATGGGAGAGAGCGAGCTCTGAGTATGATCAACCGAGCTCCATAAATTCCAGCATTTATAGTAAGTAGGCATAGATAAGTCCTAAAGTAGCACCTATTATCTTGTCATAAATAAATAACCCAATTGATACGTAAATTCTGATAGAGCATAAATAGCCCAATTCTTTGACCTAATCATTGACCTCAAGTTCTTTGGAAATGGTGTCATGCTGTACCCCCGAAGGTAACACAGGTGTAACGCTTGCGGAAACCAACATACCTGTTAGGCATATCCCTTTTGTGCTGTTACATAAATCCACCACCACTCGGACCTACCATTGTAAAGAAAGCAAAGGCGAAATCAACGCACACCAGGAATGCACCTTGTTTACTCTGCCTGCAGAAATAATCTGGAACACAGATACAACCTTGTGATTTCCCAGGAATCTGTTCAATATACCCCATGTTAAACCTTACTGAAAACAGGACTCAACTCCCTAAGTCATCCAGGCATTGAAGTTCACCCTTACTGTAGAACGCGCGTGGCTGCCCATGCACTGACTCCGTCGGTGGAGGGTATTAACAGCCAACGTCAGCCAGTAACTATTCAATTAAAGAATTAATTACCGACATGCCACTTTGACCTAAAACAATGTTTGATTTTTCTTCGGAATTGCCAAAGAGCCAAAATATGTATTATTCACCTTATTTTTAAGACCATTTGGGGAACAAACGCGTTTGATTTTAAGACTTCAGGCAACCAAACGCTCTGGTAAGATGCACAGGGTCCAGTGAAAACCGTTGTCACTTTGGTAAGTAGAACTAGAAACTAGAAGTGCATATTCACCATCTTTCAGTTTTTACCTCTCAATAAGAATAAAGACATTCTTTGAATTGCAGAAGCACTTATACTGCAAGTTCCAAACTCAAAGCACAAGGCTTAAAAGTCCTTAGCTAAAATATAGTATTTACACTAACGCCCCAAATAATTGCATCATCAAAACTCTCTGCTGCTTACACCACCATTCTGTAATCTCGTGAGCTCTAACGTTAATGGAGATACGATCACTGTAAAATCCTCCCTGCCATGGTTTATTAACAAAAACACCACCGGAACATTACTGAAAAGGTGTTTTCTGCAAGCAGTGTTGCACACCAGCAATCTCAGTGACATCATTAGGAGCCCGAGTTAGCTTTTTCTGCCGTTTTGTGGGCCCAGGCCTGCAATCCTTGTCAGGACAGAACGTCCACCAACATACCCTGAGTATTTTTCTTGCGTTTCTCCCAGAACTTCAAAGCTTTTTGATCTATTGACATTTTTCTGACCGTATGACCAGTGTGAGTTCCCAAGCACGGGACCTGCCTCCCACCGAGCAAGGACGCTTTCCGCTGAAGCGCAAAAACGCTTTTCTGGAGAAAGGACAGCGGGCCCTCTGCTCCTGAGCCATCCACCCCTACCCTGGGGGTGAGACTCCCCGGCGGGCAGCGCGGCTTTCGGAGAAACGTGATGGTTGAGTACTAAATACCCAGTAGCTCAGGTGAACAGCAGAACACACGCGCGGCGGGGTGTCTGCTGGTGGTGCGGAGATTTAAACATCCGAAGCCTTGGCTCGTTCTCGCCGCTCAGGTTTTGAAGTTGCATTAAATCCACGCGACCCAAGGAACGCGCT